TAGCAACTAAATTTTCAGCTGTATTTATGTAAATGAAATCAAGCAAGAATATGTTCTATACAATCAATGTAGAAAACTACGGGTCCATGTTTTTGTGAATCCAACTCGGATCTAGAAGAACCCACAGATCGCTAATTGTATTTTTTCTGAGCGACGTAGTAGAGTATTCAGATTTATCTATAAATATGTATATTAATTATGTTTAAATTTTTCTTTTTTTTGATTTCAGGGCAACATTAATTGGTTTGAGTATTCGAGCAAAATTACTTTATACACTTCCTACTCGTTATAAAGTCGGTGTTAATATATTCGAAGGTGCTCATATACAAGAAAGTCAAATAAATAAACAATTAAATGATAAAGAACGTGTTACTGCTGCACTTGAAAATCAACATCTTCGTGCGGTTGTTAATCGATGTATTACTACATCAGAAAGTTAAACAAAAAGAAAAATACATCTTTTTATCTGTTTTTTTTTTGATTATTAGAAAAAAAATTCGAATGCTAATTGAATATTTTGTTATCTTGTTTTTTTTCAGATCGATTAAATTTACAAGAAAAAAATGGCAACAGCAGTACCAAAAAGTGTTTCACCATTAATACGTGCTGGTCGTTGGAGTTTATTATTAGTTGGTGTTGTCTATGGAAGTATACATAATAATACATTAAAAAAACGTGAACAACGTGTACGACAAAAAGAAATTGATCGTGTTACACATCATGCTATTGATGAAATTGCTGAAAAAAAAATCAAAGCTGATCAATCAATGATTGATTTAGCTTATGCAGCTGGTGTTGATCCAAATCAAGCACGCATAAAACAACAAGGACAGGAAAAAAAATCCCATTAGGACTTTATATTCTTTTCTTTTATAATATAGTTATATTGTCGTCTTTAGTTTCTTAGAAAAAATATCCCGTATCCTTCTCTCATTTGTTTTTTCCATTTTCAATACTACTTCTCTGTTTTTCTTTTTCTCTATATTTGGATTAACATGAAATAGACGATGATCATAGCCAATTTTCTTTTTTTTTTTTATTTGTTTCATTTTATTTCGTAAACAAATTGATTATTGTCGGCACCAGAATTAAGTGTGGGTTGGTATAAGACGAATATCTCAAGAATGGCAATAGCTAGCGATCTACGATTTCCACCAATCGAAAGATGCTGAGTTAGGACATGTTTTGATATAATATTATGCAAGATGAAATCATTAACTAATCAATTGTTTTCGGAAATCTTTCCGAAATATGTATCATAATGCAATGTAGTTGCAATGAAATTTTCATTCTGACATGTATATTAGAAAGAGAGACTTCAGCTCTACAGTTCAAGACACAAAGAGAATGGTTATCTTCTTACTGTCTAATGTTGAGCAAATGAATTCGGTCATTTTCTTGTTAAAATCAATAGAAATTGCGTCAATTTTTAAGGCCCCCCCCCCTCAAAAATCGATCTTAGCCTAGGTACATTCAAATGGGCTAAAATTTGGAGCATATGTTGGGACTGACCAGAGGATGCTGTGGTAAAATTTTCAGCTCGATACCCTGATGTTTAACAGAGATATGAACCAAACAAAGGTCAAAAATTGCTCATTTTGTTCTCAAGATTTCTCTGTGGGCCTTCATCCAATATATAGATTTTTTTTTGTTTAAAAGAGTATCTCAAGATGCAGATCCTGTAAGGCTCCTTTTTTAAAAACTCTTATCTATCAAGCCGAGAAAAGGGTTGACAAGTTTTCATATAGAAATCTCATCTATTTTAGAAAGTTATAGAGTGCGCGAGTGTACTGGAGGAAATTTAATCACTTTGAGAACCTAAAGTTTTTGTCTCGACTAAAAGGAGGAAGGAAGGACTTCAAAGTTGCGACTGTGTTTATTCTGAAGCATATATTCATAGTTTCAATCATTTGATCAAAACACACTTATCTTACTTACATCCACAGAAAGCACTCATCCGACCAAAAAAGAAGAAGGAAGGATTTAGTGACTAAGATTGTAGATATATTCTTAGTCTCTTTCAGAACAGCTTCTATTATAATCTAATTCTTATAATTTGTTCAGAGCAGGTGGTTGGAAGACGAGCAGAGATTCTGCAAAATGTTTCAATCTGCTTCAAACTAGCTTTCATAATCAAGCTTCTATGATATGTCTAGAGCAGAGAGTTAGAAAAGGAGAAGTAAGTTTACAATTATTTTCAATCTTTTATAAGTTAGCTCTCACTACCAAATCTTTGTGAAAAATTTTGTTTATTACTAAAATATAACGAAAAAATCTGCACATTGAAATATTTTGTTTATTGTGTTTAACAGAACTTTCTTTTGTGAACTCCTGACCAAATAAATTATTTCAAATTGTATATTGAGTTGCATTCATAATAGAAAGATTTTTTTTTGTCTTTCTAATATTTCGGACATTCCAAACTCATCTAAATTCTCATTACTATACATAATAACTTTATTTGAAAAAGAAAATTAATTAATTCGTAATTTTGCGCTTAATAAAAAACGAATTTTGCCTAAAATTTAACTTTTGCCAGTGGCATATATATAGGATTAACAGATATGTAGGCACGAAAAGTTCTTGAGAATTTTATTCATTGATTAAAAATAAATGGATGTTGAAGAAAAGCTAATGAATATTTGGAAAAAAAAGTATTTTCTAATTGTCTATGATCGTTGAAGAAAGTACTTCGTTTTTCTATTATCCGATAATGAGAAATAATGACATTTAAATGTATAAGCTTAAAAAAAATATTCATCTTATTGAATACGTTTTTGTTTCAAAGTCTGATAAATAAAAATTGTCTTGCAGTAAGACAAAAATCTATCGAAATAGGAATATTTTGTTTACTTTGAAATTTTAATCATAAATAGAACTCCATGAACACTATTCGTCACAAGCACCAGTTCACACTCTATTGCTTTAATTAGACTGACGAGGAAACATATTTAGGTATTTAGGCCCATCCTTCGGCTATAAGTGGATCTCGATGAGATATGAAAAACCTGAAGAAGATTCATTCCCTTGCATCTTTGTTTCTGAGATATGCCTGTTTTACTGGGTGTTCGGCCAAAGACCCGGCATTTTAGAAAAAATCAGATGAATGAATTTTGTTCTGAAATTTCGCCTATAAATAGGTCTAATGGTTCGTAGAGTATTCTTAACGTTTCAGTCAAAATGGATGCTTCCTAGGCGAGATATTTCGTTTTAAAAAATCTCAACTTTAGAATATCCTTTCAAAGTATGGGTTTTTATCGAAATTCTAATGGTTCCCTATTGGAGCATCCATTTTGATTGAAACGTTAAGAATACTCTACGAATCATTAGACCTATTTATAGGCGAAATTTCAGATCAAAATTCACTCATCTGATTTTTTCTGAAATGTCGGGTCTTTGATCGAACATCCAGTAAAACAGGCATATCTCAGGAACAAAGGCGCGAGGGAATGAATCTTCTTTAGGTTTTTCATATCTCTTCGAGGCTTATTTATAGCCGAAAGATGGGGCATAAACGCCTTGAACACCTAAATATGTTCCCTTGTGAGATAAAAAGTCATTAACAAGATTTTCTTTTTATGTGATGTTATGGTCAAGCTAGAAAATAGATCTACTCAGGTCAAATAATCTTATTATAAGATCTTGTACGATTCTTACAAGATCAAGATCATATGAAAACTTGAATATGAAAAAATGAATTTTTAATGAATATTTCAAATTAATCAAATTTTAGATAACACACATTTATTGACAAATATCTCAAATTGGAAATATTTATTGATATTTCTCTTTTTATTGAACTATCTCAATTTAAACACTTACAAGTTAATTAGCTAAGTCTTGATGTACATGAAAGAATGATTGTAATTTTGCAGAAAAATGAAATTCATGGAATGGAAATAGTGCAGAAGTAATGCAATGAAAATAATGCAAAAGCAATGAAAGTGATGAAATGATTTCCATTTTTTTCAGAATAATCAAATTCATGAAATTTTTTCGATGAAAATTCTGAAAATAACCATTTAAATGAATCTTTTTTCCATCTTTTTTGCTTCATAGATATGGATATAAGTAGGACAATGAAGGCGACCTTTCTTTTTCCGTTTCTCCGAGTTCCTCATGTTTCAAAACACTTATAACTCCATCAAATCAAATCACAGGAGTCTAAAAGGTTCTTCATAATTCCGGTTTAAAGTTAGGAATTGATTGATATAAAAAACAATGTATATCTTAATTTCGACCATAAAATTGATTTTTTCGATAAGCTCATGTAGCTTCTCTTAAGTAAATATGAATTTAATTCATTACATGATGTCAACCAAAAAATTATTGATGTATAGAAAAATGTGAGGAAATGATTAGAAATGTTTCAGAAAGATTAATAGCAGTCGTTCGAAAATAAGATCAATGCATTACAAAATTTGATTACTGATATTTATACAAAGTGTCAATCGGATCAACTTATAAACCTTTCAAAGTATCTATTTTCCCAAATAATAATTCTTATCTTTCTCTACAAAATCGCATATTTCAATCAATGAACTATATTTAGGTTTATCATAGATATCATCAATTTACTAAGAAGAGTTGAAACAATCGAATCCTTAATAGTCCATATGTTTTCCCTCTTAACCATAAAATTCATCTTGAAAACATCCTATTCATGTGATCATAAGTGTCAACAATACTGTAATTCTTCACTTGTTTTATTAAATTAATCAATTATTGAATTATAGTGTAATTTTATTCATCAAATTGTGTGGCCAAAAAAAAAATAGAATATCAAACGTGAAAAGAAAAAAAAGAACAAGGGATATAATAAAGGAAAAAAGAACTGGGCACACAAATAGCCGCATCTTTCTACATTAGAAAAATAATAATCAGAGTAGATGTATAATCTACAACTGTTTGCTTTAATATTTCAGACTAGAATAGAAAAAGAAATATTTATGTTATATCAATCGGTACGGAAAAATTGTGTTTTCTTTTTGTTCTCTTTTTTAACGCGCTCGTACAGGTAAACCATAAATAACTGGTGCAGCACCATTTAAACATTTTAATTTACACAGATCACGACCATATCGTAATGCTTCACCAAGTGATGCACCTGCTTTAAGTTGTTCAAGTAAAAAAAATGTTAAACTATCTATATCACGATCGGTTACATCCCATAGACATCCAAGAATTGTTGCACTTAAAAAAAAAGACAAATTAAAATAAAGTTCCAACAATTCGAAATTTGAGCAAAAACTTTTTTTTGTTGCATATTCGAACATAGGTTTTTGTAGCGAACTTTATAGAAAAAACCCTATAAAAATTGAAGTATGCCAAAAGCATCAATATTTTGTATTCAGAGATTTTGACCATCGGAAATTCATTTTCTAAAGAAACTCAAAATCAGTAGATAAATCTACATCGAATAGTAAACACAATGCTTAAGGACATCTCCTTTCGTGACTCAAAATTTTTGATTTTTCGTGGCCATTGTATTGTCTGAAGTGGTATGTTTCTACTGACTATGTTTTGTGATTCAAAAATTGTCTTTAGACGGTGAACAATTCGAGAAGAAATCAAATTAGCTAAAACTGTACACTGTTCCATGTTTCTCTTAAAATCAATTTTTGAACAAAAAAAAGTAAAGTTTTTTCCCATACAGTAAGTCCGATTGGGATCATTTTTTTATTAACACTTTGGTTAAACTGAAGTGTGTATTTGTTTTTTCTTTAAATTGTTGTTCCTACGAAATTCAGCAACCTTTAAAAAATTAGTACCGTTGAAAAAAAAACAACGTTGTTTTTTTTTTAACGGTACTTCCAATATTTCGCTTCTCCCGAGCTCTAGGAACGATATTTTTGAAAGAAAAACAAAACATACACCCCAATTTGATCCTATTGGTTATAAAAAAAAATTGTAGCTCGAAAATTTGCAACCTCATATCTACCAAATCGAAGCATCTGGAAATTTTAAGTCTATGGCAACTTTTACTCTACATATTGAAACTTATTTGCCTTAAAAGTTTCATAATCTTTCGTTACGCCTCATAAAACAAATTTTTATCAAATTTTACCCTTAGCGGAAGCATAGGTCAGATTATTCACAAAATCATGAAACAATATTTTTCAAAAATCATGCACCATTTTTTTTCTAACCATATAACGATTAAAATAAAAAAAAGAAAGAACCAATTTCAGACAAAAATATTGAAGCTACTTAGACGTGATGCTTTTGGTACATTCCATTTTTTAGAGATAAATAAACGAGTTCTATTCAACTATGATACAAAAAAATTGTTGCTCAAATTTCGAGTTACTAATATCTTAAAATTATTGAAAAACACAAGCAAAACGGAATGAATACATACGCTCCACATGTTAAATAAGCAAATGGCATTCCAAAAACTTCAAAATCACCTAATGATTGTAAACGTGCACTTGAACAACCCATTAATAAAACACATAAACGAGAAGAATTTTTTTGTACATCATCAACTGGATAAAATTGACTACCTGAACCATGACCCATATATCTAATAAATATTTCAAAGAAAAAGGAAACTTTTTAATTTTTTTTCTTTCTATGTTTTTTTTTGTTTTAGTGTAACTTACAAAAGTACATCTTTTGATTTAAATATATCTTTAATTGCATCATTAGTTGGAAAACGTTCAATAACTCCATTCCATTTTTCAATTAAATCTGGTTTTTCATTTTGAAATTTACGAAAACGTTCTTTTGTTCGAGGTAAATCATTACCAGGATCAACTATATAATAACCTTTATCAACATCAATACGATGATAAAATGTTTTTTCAATTGGTATTATTGTTACATCATTATTTTCAATATTAATTTGTTGTTCTAATTCTGATGATGTATTACAATAATATTTATGCATACCATCAAGTAATAAAAGTGATGGCAAACGATAAATAACTATTCGACGAAAAAGAGATGTCATACAATGAAGTTGTTCCCATGGAAATATATGTAAATGATTATCAAGAAAAAGTAAAAGATTTTGTGATGAACGAAGATTTGATGATGTTGTATAAGTACGTTGTTTAAATTCAAATAAACGTTCAACTAAACGACTTGATACAAGTTGAGAATAAATTGATGATGGTAAATTTATTGATAATTCTTGACGAATATCATCCAATGAAGATAAATAAAATATTGTTTGATGAAGAAAAAATTCAATGAATCGACGTTGTTGAGGTGAATCTATATGTTATTAAAGAACAAAAATATTTACATTCTACTTTTTATAAATTTGAATCAAAGTCTTACTTGTTAATGGTGTAAGAAGATCATCAATCATAGCTTTTTTTCCATCGAATATACTTGTTTCAGGTAACCACCACCATCTCATTGGTGATGTTAAATAAATTTGATTTAAATCTTCAACAAGACGTTCAAATAATTGTTCAAAATATTTTCTTATTGCCCAATAACGATTTGGATCTATAATACCATGTAATGTATGTGTATTAGATTCAATTAAAAAATGAAATTTTTTTATTAATAATCTTGGAAATATAACACGTCGTATAACAGGTGTATAATAATTTCCACGAATTTGTACAGCAAGTATTTGATCACGTATAAGTGTAAATGAATGAAGACATACACAAACTTGTTTAGCTGGAAGTAGATCATTTATTAATATATCTTTTAAATAGGATATTGTTAATGGACGAAAATGTAATGCATCTATATAATGAGATAAATGTTCTTGAGAAACATTGGTTGCTGCTGGTAATGGTGTACCACTTCGATCACTATTATGACTAAATGAAAAAGTCGATATATTATTTAATTAAAAGTATTAAAATGAGATTAGATTTTTTTTTGATAGCCGAATTCTGACAAATATGAAAACGAGACAGAGTGATGTGAAGATGGGGTCACTGCTAGAATGTCTTTTCGGCGAATGGCACGATCGCATTTAATGGTAACTGAAGAAATTTTGTTCGCTACTTTTTTTTTACTTTCATTTTTGTGCTGCTATAATGTTTTTTAAAAAGTAGTGTTTCATTTTTGAACAATAAAATAAAGTTGAAAATATCACGAAAGTAGGTTTCTTGTTAATGTTTGAAATCTTGTCATTACTCCTATCTTAAGAAGATACAGCTATGATAAAAGTGTGTCATTTTACGTCGCTCATATACAATGGCAGGTAGAGTTTAATGTCAAATTTTGAACATTACTGTAAACGCTTTAAGCAGTGCATATATAGATTTATAACTTTAGCTGAATCTATGATAAAAACAAGAAGATTCGATCAGTTGAACTGCAATTATATCTCATAAACCCTTTTCGTAGGGTTTATTTTTCTACGATTTATTTTTACAGTGTATACTACGTTTCATATTGATTCAAATTCTATAGAGAAAATTTTTTTATAAATTTTATTTATTTTATTACCGTTTTTTTCTTTGATAAATACAAAGTGCATTATATCGAAAACCAATAGCTTGCATTTCAACAATTAAACTAACAGTAAGCCAAGGATCCTGATCACCAGATAATAAAATAATATATTCTGCTAAATAACGCATTAATTTTGCATTTGGAGCATATGCTAAATGATCATGTAATTGTATACATTGTTGTAAAAGTTTTTCATTTGATTTTGATAATATATTTATTTCTTTCTCATTATCATTATCATTATCATCATCATCATCATCATCAAATTGAAGTTTTCTTTCAATATGTAATGCATCAATTTGATCGATAAGTAATTCAATAGGTTCATGATTATTTTCATCTAAACGTGATGATAAAATTCGTGGTGAATTTCGATTTGTATTTATTCGATGTAAATTTTCATCTATATCATCATTACGAATTTTTTGTATACGTTCATCAGCTTTTATGGCTGCGGCACGTCGTGGTCGAGATGATGATGTATTACTATTTGTTATACCTAATGGTGGAAGTTTTTTTCCTGTACGATTAGGTGTACATATCGGTGATGCTAATGTTGAATCCATAGGTATTTTATTTCGAAATGTACTCATTAGATTTGATGTTGTTGTTGCTGATGTAGAAGATTTATTAGGTGTCTCAAAAAAAAAAAAAAAAAAAAAAATTATTTTCTAAAATTTTCATTTATAACTTACAGATAACATTTTTTGATTATCTAATTGAAATGGTGTTTTTCCTCGTGGTGTATCAATAAGTTTTTTAGTTTTTGTTTTTAGTAATATAGGTTCATTTGTTAATGAAAGTATTTCATCTGTTGTTAATGAATTTAAATCAAATGGCTGACCTGTATTAACTTGTGGTGGTGATAATATATTATTCCATTTATTATCTGTTTGCTGTTGTTGTTGTTGTTGCTCTTCCTTATTATTATTCATTGTTGTCCATTCTGGTAGACAAGTTATATTGGATTCATTTGGTATAATTATTGGATGAAGCCATAATGATGATTTATCAAGAATTTCAGGTGGTTGATCTTCAATTAAATTTAAAAATGAAATCCATGCATCAGTCCAAAATGTAAATTCAGTATATTTATCCGAATTTGAAAGGTTACTATTCAACAAAAAATTAAAATTCGTCTTTTTATTTATTTATTTCTTACTTCCAAATCAATCGTTTTTTATTTTCATATGATTTTCCATTTTTTCTTAATTGTTGAAAACATGTCAATCGATATAAAATATGTATACGATGATAAAGTAATCGATGCCAATCAAATGACAGATTATGTTGTTTATATTCATAATATAATTTTGTTTCACATATATGACGTATTTGATCATATGCATGTGTATGATAATCATATTCAAGTTTAATATAATCATACCACGAATGAATAAAATCAATAAATAAATCTTGTTGACGATCTGTACAAATATCTAATGTTGATAAATGTTGTGAAAATTGTTCTAATTTACGTCGAGCACAATCTGGTTGATGTGATAAAATAAAAAATTGTGCATTGAGTATAAGAAAAAATGTAAACCTATAAATTAAGAAAAAAAAAATATATTGAAAAACAAAATTTTCCTATAGATAAAACAAAGAATAAGAAGTGTAATAATATTTATAGATAATTTTTATTAAGAATAAAGAGAGACGAGCACGATAAGTATAGATAGAAAAACATGACATCGAGCAGTTACTTACATCGTTTATTTGAAATTCTGAAAACAAAAATAATTATCTATCTTATTGTTGTTGATTATCCTAAGGCAATCTTATACTGCAGAGTAGGATAACGTGTGATTGATCTATAAGTTCTAACTTAATTCTGCACAGCTCCATTTCCAAGTCACACAATGTGATACCCATAGAGTTCTTGCAGGACAAATTTTTATCGAGTTCCGTAGGACTCGAGACATACAATATTGAAACATTCTTTAGATTCTATGAGAAATACGACAGATCCAACAGAAACTGATTCAAAATGTTTTCAGATTTGTATAGGAAGAGTTGAGTTTTCGTTACTCAAAGAAAGATTCCAACAGATCTACATAAATTTCTATGATATGTGTCTATATCTTAGCAACACGATGTGAGAAAAAAATTCTAAAAGGATTTGGACTGATGGGGATGTTATTGATAGCTATGATTATTTCACTGTTTGTTCGAGATAGTAAAAGGTATTTACAAAAAACTACTGAACAAAAGAATTTCAATTTGGAAATACTTTGTGTTAGTTCAAATAATCAGAAATTTGCTTATAACATTTGAAGAAAGTCTCGTAGATCTAAATCCTTTTAGGACTATTTCTAGAATAATGTTTCCAACATATGAATAAATAGCATTGAAAGTGATGAGTGTAGGTGTGGCTATATTACTCCTCGTTCTCCACGCCCATACCCTGGACAATGTGCATTATGTAGATCTTAATGAGTTATAAATATCCCGAAAATAGTTCCAGTATAAGTGTTTTTGAATTCTCACTTGAAATTTTTTACAGAGATAAGTCTTAAACAGGACAGTTTGTTATGAAAATTTTGTCTTTTGATTTCAGGCTTGGTTATGGTAGATCTAGACACAGTGGATTAAATAATCCAAAAACTGAAGAACTGCAGACATCCTAAAAAAACAGTCAACGATGTTCTGATATAATCGAATCTTAGGGTGGTGCTTTCATGATTGCCCACATACATCCAGAAATACTTGGACAATTATCCAAACTATAACCTATAAGAAATTCTTTGACTTTTCTCTAATATTCTTAAATATGGATTCATAGTGTCTTATGGATTATCGATCATATTCTATTCAAATAAATATAAAAAAAAAGCATATCTCTTCGAAATGAGTGTTCTTTAAAATTTAGAAAACATGCTGCATTAGTCAAACATTCTCATGAATCTACTAAAAGTTACAAGATTCTCAAATAAATATTGTAAAATTAACCTACCATCTTTTTGCATGTAAATAAACTGAAATTTCTAAACCAACAAGTAAATAATTTTTTGCATTTCGATAAAGACCAATTTCAAAATTAAGTAAAATTAAATATGCTACTTGAGATAGATAATTTTGAAGTGCATGAAGAACTAATGGAGTTAATTGAAGTTCTATTTAAATAAAAATCAAACTCAAATAAATTCATCAATCATTGTCACATACGTGTTAATTCCGATAATCGATTAATATCGATAATATCAAGTGATGTACGTAAATCTTGTGCACAATATGAACGACTTTCTTCAACTAAAGCAAGAAAATCATTTCGATTAAAATCTTTTAATTGTTCATCTAATAATTATAAAAACAAAACACATATTTGTAAAATTCATTGATGAAAAAATTTTTCTTTTACCATCATTTAATAGAAGTTTTGATTGAAGATTATATAAATGTGAACGTACAAAAAAACTATCTGCATATGCACATGATACAATCGGTCGTATTTCTAATAATTCAAGTGTTTTTTTACATGATGAAAACTACAAAACGAAAAAAAAAGAAATAGATTCTTTTAAAAAGCAAATATTTAAATATACATCTTTTATATGTAAGAAATTTTCTGCAGTTGTTATTAAATTTAATGCTTCATCAACATCAAATGCTGAAATTTGTGTTGATGCTTTTGGATAATCACGAGATGAAACAGTTATCAATGGTTTATATCGATCTTCAAGATTAATTGAACATTTATTTGCTAATTGATTACATGCTGTTAATATTGTCATACGACTTGAATGATTTGATGGTAAAAGATCAAGTAAATAACGATAGATTTCCATTGCTTCCGAATACTAAAGAATGATTATATCATAAGACAAGTGATTGAAAAGTTTTTACACAAGATCTTTATTCACTTTAAGCTAGATCCCAGTGAGATATAAAAACCTCAAGAGGATAAATGTTCTTAGGCTTTCTATCCAGAATTATAGGCATTTTAGCCTCAGGTATGAAATATACCAACAAATCGAACGACAGTATTTCAAATTAAGATTTTGCGCACAAATAGATCTGTTTGTGAGTGGAATGCCTTGAGAATTTCAGCTCAAAAGAATATTTCTTTCCCGAGATATTAAAGTCTCAACACCATGCCAAAGACTAAAATTCAAGTAAAATGCCTTTAGCTCTGGGCAGAAGACCTAAAGGCATTTATCCTTTTGGGATTGTTCATACCTCACTGGAGTCTATCTTATGTACAGAGTCTGAACTCAAAAGCGATGGATCAGCTGAGAAGGTTCCTTCGTTAAAAATTTTATCTCAATTTTTTTTTCCGAGAGTAATGAAATAATCTTTGAAAGGTTCAAAAAATTAGTTCGCACGGAAATTTTTTATATTTTCAAAAGGCACAATTTTTGTTTTTCGTAAAAACTTATTTTTGAAAAATCGACAATCGTTTTACATTAAAGTTCTTGAAATGGGTGTAGTCTCACTTCAGTAAAAGCTACAACTTACATTTTATAGAGAAGCGTTCGTTATAGAAAACGATCAATTCCGATCAGTTTTAACATGTTCGAAAAGGGATTTATAGAGTAAACAAAAGTCTGTTCAAAAATCGACAAAAAATTCTGTCGAAAATACGTTCTAGCGGGTCAAAAAAGTGAATAAATATTTTGTCTAAAAATTTTCCAATTATCCATTATTATAAAATCTATTCAAATAAGAATAATAAAGAAAGATTTACATATTGAAAAAGATCAAATAGTGCGGCTATTGTGTGTACATTTGAATAGAATATATCTATTTCATTTGGATATATAATTGATACGCGTTTGAGAATTTCAATTGTGCATAAAGATGATGATTTCGATTTGATTATATCCCAACTTTTAAATAATGTTGATATAATTGATTTCTCAGAATATTTTCCTAACACTAGAAAAAAAAAAAAAAATATTTATTATAGTAGAAGCTATTCTACAAAATGTACTACTGAAGTTTTTCTACAGATCCCTTAAATTTTTGTTTCTCTAAAATTCTCACTTTTGAAAAATTGACTTTTTGACTAGAAGGTGTTTTGTATCGAAAGGAGCTATTGGCAAAGAATATATAGGAATTAGAAAAAGTCTATTAATTCATCATTAAATCTAATTTTTTGGGTTACAAAAATTCCTTCACTACCTTCGAATAAAAACTAAGATAAAATTTCTAAGCTCATATTCAGAAATTGTACTATATGCTGGTTGTAATCTATAGACTTCGATTCCTCAGAAACATTTTCAAGGGAGACAAAAATAAACAAATATATTGTCTCAAAACTCTTGACCTACCCACTAGAAGATTTTCCTTAATTATTTAATTCCTCGTAAAATGGGAATTTTATTTAAAAATTTACACTTTTAAAACCCTGAAAATCTCTTTTCAAATCTCGAAACTAGATTTGGTTTTCTAGAAAACCTTTTCAATTATTAATAATTAACCCTTTCAACACCAACGTGCTTTTAAGTTTCTTAGTTTTTAAATGATTCATGAACACAAGAAAGATATTGAGACGCAACGATGCAATTTAGCCTGCTGATCTGAACGATGTTATTAATTTTACTTATGAATATTTTTCCCTTAAGTTTTCATTATTATATTTTTATATAACTATGATGAACATTAACCATAAAAGATATGGTAGCGTTAGTGATCATTTTCAATGAATTTCTCAAATTATATACTATTTAATCCTGATACTTTATGTGCATAATCTAAAAACATTGTAGACTAGCTAGTATAATTTTTAAGCGAAAATAATATCTATCAGCTGAGTTATGAAGTTTTTCGCAAGAAGGTTTCAAACTTTAAAGAGAGAGAACACTAAAGAAAGAGTTTTTATGTCTGTTTGACTCAGGAATTATTTGTATTTTATGGCAAAAAGAAATGAAACACTTGTGATAAAAGCTAATACCTATCATCATTGAGCAATGGTACTCGAAGGATTAAAGAATGAGAAACTGTTAGAAAACGATTGACTTTCTTCATTTAAATTATCAATTCTTTTAACATTCCCATTTTATTTCATGAATTGAATTATAAATCTTTACTTTTATGAGCTTCCATCGTCATTGATTCGGCATGAAAAGTTTCAAGTTGATTAATAGCATTATTTTCAGCTGCTTGTCTTTTTTGTTCTTCATAATCTTGTTTGATTTTTTTAGACATCTATGAAAACAAAAAATAACAGAAAAAAAAAACAAAATATTTACATTTGTCAGTTATATATATCAGTGACTTGCAACTTTTACGTACGAGTAGTAGGAAAAATTGAAAGTAAAGTTAAACTATTTTTGATTAATGTAAGCGTATAGTAATCAAAGTAGAGTCACGGCTTCGAAATGAAGCAAATTCAATGATATGAAATGTAATCCATTTAAACTCAGTTGAAATATTAGATGGAAAATGTCATCTTTTGTGTCACTATGAAAACGAAAGTGCCTGTCACACAATATTTCGAACGATAGGCATAGAAAGAGAAAGATATGTGATTAAACAGAATACTTCAAGCTCTACAAAATGAACTATTCGTTATCTTTTCTTGTCTTCGTTTCTCAGAAAATTTCCTTTCCTTATGAGAGAAGTCGTCCAACTGATAAATTCCAAATAAGCTATGAATACCGTGAAAAAAGTTCTTTCCCTTAGCTTATTGCTACGGTGACACTGCACTTTTAAGGTATTTTTTACAATGAATATTATGATTCAGAAAAATTAATTTTCGAATTTCAAGTTGAAACTTTGTACAGAGAGGGAGGTCTAAACAAGAGTAGTTTGCTGTGAAAGTTACAACAGGTCTTGTCGCTGTTTCGATCCTAAGATGCAACTATGGTAATAGCATGTCTATAAACCGACAGATTTGATGCTCGTATTTCAGAGTAGCAGCAAATCAAAATACCTGAAACTACTCTCCCTAAGATCTATCTCTATGCAAAGTTACAATTCGAAAATTAGTCTTTTTCGACCCCGGCATCAATTAAGAAATACCATCAAAACACAATATTTTCGTAGCAATAAACTGAAGGTACGAACTCTTTTCAGAGTATTCATAACTTATTTGGTTTTACATGATGCACATAATCTCGATTCAAAAATGATTGAACAGTTGGAAGACTTTCTTCATTAGTGCATATATCCACCAACGACAAAATGCTTGCAAATCATATTTTTAATAGTCAACCGAAAAAATACACAAGATTCTCAGAAGATTTTTTCATCTGTAGATTTCGTTCCATTGATCATTTTTATACAAAAAATGAAAAAAATATTCACATTTACTCAATACATCATGGTGCGAGAACCAAAATACTAAAAAAACGTCAATAACCTTCCTTTGCGCTTGACTACCCATAGAAATGTTTATCAAAAATACGATTGTTTCACAGTATGAGGCTCATAAGTTTGTTCAAATCCATCAATAAAAACAAAAGTTATAAGCCGAATACAGCTAAAATTCTAATTGTACCAAACAAGTTACAATTCACTCATATATGTATATTCTTTCTACTAACATCATTCGTTAATTTTGAATAATAAACTTGAAATTTAATTAAATAATATTCTGTATAAAGCCATAGACGTTGTACTATACCATGTATATCATCAACTGTTGGTGAACATTTACGAAGATGATTTGCTAAATTATTTGATTCATCACTTAAGAGATAAAAAAACAAAAATTCAGAAAAAAAAAAGTATATAATAAAAGAAATTTCATACACATCTAAAGTATTTCCACTTGCTAAATCAAGTTTAATTTGTTCAAGTAGAATTCGTGCACATAAAAAATGATTTGAACCATCACCAAAAAATTGTTCATATAATGAACGAACTAATGCACGACGTTCATCAATCATTTGTGTAGATTTTATACTGTAAAAAAAAACAACAATTAGAAATTTGAACTTAAACAATTGATTTTAAAACAAAAGAAAATTTTATTTACTTAGCATTTCGATATTCATATAGTTCACATAGAAGAAAATCTTTTGCTTTTGTACTTGTACGATTAAATGTTGATGGTATAGCAACATCAAGAAATGAACGTAATTTAAGTTTTGATTCAAAAAATTCTTTGTTTTTCTTTTCAACATCACGTTTAAATTTTAACCATTGAATTATTAATGGACGAAAATCATTTATTGTTGGATAAAGATCAATTATTTGTTTAACAATTTGTATTAAAAATTGTAAACATTCAGTTAATAGACCATTAAGACGATAACTTTGAAGAAATTGTTCAATAATTGTATTTAATTGATTCTATTTGAAAGGAGAGGAAAACAAAAAAAAGAATTTGTAAGAAGCAAAATGATATAATTATAATGTTAAACATACGATAGAATTTGTATCATTTGAATTTATTTGAATGCGAGTAAGAAGTTGTTTAATAGCATTTTTATAAGCTGACGATGAAGAAGAACTCATGCTTGTTAGTTTCGTCAAGCAATGAAAAAATGAATTTTTTTTTTCTTTCGTTTATTCATTCATTCATTGTCTAGCGAGCGATCGAACATACCGGCTGATTTTTTTTTTCTAATGAATCATTCAAATTTTTAAAAGATAAAGTTTTATGAAACTTTTATTAATGAATTTTACTTGGAAAAATTTCTATGAATTGAACTTTCATTCAAAAAAGTTTTAATAAAAAAATTTCCAAACAAAAGATGAATATGTGATAGATGACGCTATTCTTTTATCATAATTCTTTGTTCTTTTTGAAATAAAATTTCTCCATCTTTTCCATTGGTGTATAGTCGCAAGGGAGGCAATTTAATTTGAGCAGAAACGAGAAATATTCTTCGCTATAAAAACTTTACTGATCAATTTAAGTAATATTCAACATGTGAGTAACAAATGCGGTAATTCAAGATTCATTCCTATATTACATTTTTCAATGGCTCTAGTAATGTAACTAGATGGGTACTCGCTAGCGGCGTAACCAGGATTTTGATGGTGATGGGCTGTGATGGGGCTCAACTACTCAAATTCTGCCCAGTGGCAGGGGTCGCAATAGAATTTAGCTGGAGCGACTTTGCCAAGTGATGGGGCTAAGCCCCAGCTTGGTTACGCCACTAGTACTCGCTCCTACAAACGGTTAAGTTCTGTTTAAAAAGGAACTATTCATGTGATTCAAATTGGATAACTTGAACTCTGATTTGAGTTCAGAAATTATTCAACCGGTTCTGACAATGTTGAGTGTCTATGTAATAGTTCAAGCGTTTCTTGAGTTATATGGACAATCATAAAAGCACTATAAAGTTCGAATATTTTAGGGCATCATTGATTTTTTCTATTGATGCCTGTAGCCCTTCGACATTGGATTCTGTGCATGCCTTAAAAGCATTAAAACGTGACGTTAACAGGTTCATCTGCTAATATTTAGTGGAATAGAACTTCTCTATGGAATATTTTCTAAATGCTTAAATTATTTATTCAATGTTTCTGATTCGAATATTCATTAGGAATATATCTTAATAGAAATCGAAGAAAAAAAGAAATGAATTAATATTGTTCCTCTACTATTCCTTCTAGAAATATTACTTTTAATTATTATCATTGTATAAACGATATATTTATCATAAAAACTATTAATTGACAATTTATTCAATTCTATTTCTTATGAATCAAGATATATTCATTCAAATATAATCTTTATTACTTTCAGACTTGAAATATTCAAAGAACTATCAGAATCTCTAAGTTCATTGTATCTCATATAAGACAACACATGTGTCACGTATTGAAGATTTAAGTTTATTTCTTAAATAAAGAACTATATTTAACCAAAAAAAAAATCTTACCAATCATCAAATCCATCTATTGATAAATTACATAATTCACTTATAGAATCAATGAAACTTGATGTAAGAATAATTCTAAATCATTAAACTAAAATAATTCAACTTTTTTGATTGTTTTATTGAATTTATTAGTAAACCACGAAATGCTACAGAAACTTTAGAAATTATTAAAAGACAATATTCTATCATCATCAATATTAATCTATGATAAGGAAAACATATCAGTTAAATTCAAAATATTAATAAGTTACATAAATAAATTCATATTGTGTATTGAATACAATGACAACACTTCATACATTAAAAAATAGAACAATTGATATAAGAAAAAGTTAATCTATTCAACCTTCGAATTTATTCAGTTCAAAGTCATGTCAATGTCAGTATGTTGGATTTGTTTAAAAAAAAACACAATTAACCAACCAAAAGTACGATGACCTATGATCGTTGGTCGTGACACTTAAATTTACCTTTTGACAATTTTCGGAAATTAATAAAATTCAAATGTTAGAAACTCGAAGTATGCAACATATGGCTATTTTATTTGTTAATATGGCAGAGACAGATAAAAATTCGTATGTTTATTCATAGTTTTTCAGTAGTGATGAATCAATGAAAAGTTACAAATATAAAAAACATTGTAGAAAAATATAAAAATCTACTTGACAGAACCACAATTTCTATTTTCAATCTATAAGACATTTTATAAATAAAAAATGTAATGCAATGATCTTGTAATAAATAATTTCTAATGTATATTCTAAGCATTCAACTGACTCGTTATTAATGAAGAAATTTCAAATAAAATTCTATCAAACTTGATTTTTTTATAATAAAGGTTTTGTTTTTCGATATCTAAATAAAGTTCAATTTTCATCGTTTGTACTATAGCAGAATAATATAAAGAACTATGTAAGAAAACACCTATGAAATGTCGAAAAATAAATATCCTTACTATGTTTTATTGCTTTCAAAAAAAAATATTTGAGTATTTTAATTTGAAATATTCAAGAATATGTTTTTAAATATTTATGAGTCGAATAAGAATAAATTATTACGACTTGATATCTAAGGTTTAGAAAAAGAAATGTCTCTAAAATTGACTTCATCATGACACTCGAAATTATATAAAAATTTATTTATCAAATTAATAAAAAAATTGATATTGAACAATTCGACATATGGGCAGTTCGTCGCAATCCTATAATTCAATTATTAGTTTGAGTATTGCTCTTCATTATGTTTTCTCTAGTGAGAAGAACAATACTGAATGGCTACCGCGATTACACATAATAAATCAAACAAGAGTTTTTGGGTTCATGCATGAGTTGATAAGTTCGTCTTGAACCAAGGACCATACTTTTATTTGTAACCGGTTTCAAGTTATTGAGTTGAATTATAAACTCAAGTGTTTCAATTACTAGCTTGATGTTCATGCATATGCGTATCGCTTGCTGCTATGTAATGCTTTTTCCAAATTTCAAATGTAGTTGAATGACATTGAATAAAAATGATGTAAAGATAGGTAAAACTAGAGTCGATCTTTCGTTGGTTCAATTGCCAAAAGAGTCTAGAAGTTGCATGAGCTTACTTGAGCACGCTTCTAATATTCAGTGCCAAACCAGGCAACTAAGGTAACAGTAGATTCAATATTGACACCATGTCGAATTTTATTCCTGATTTGATAGTTCCATTATAATACTAATATTCTAAACAGATTTTTCAAGAGAAGACAATCATTCAGCATTTCTCTTTTCATTAGAAAACATAATGAAGAGCAACATTCAAATTAATAATTGAATTCTAGTGTTGCATGCACACATATAAAAAGAGCGACTAGTATGATACTATGAAATTTAACTTATTGAATTATCAAAAACTATAATTTGTCATTTGATATTAAGAAAATATCTGCTCAATTACAAATATTACATATCAGTACATTTCAAAATGAGATTTATGTCGATTCTAATCGATCAAAATGACTAATTTTACAAAAAAAAAAATGTTCTGATTTTTCACATCATTACAACAATTTTAATACTTTTCAAAACACATGATACCATGCACACCTTTTCTTCGTATACGTTTTGCATAGCAGAAGAAACAGAACGAGGAAGGCTTGAAACACATAGGTTTTTTTCCCTTTCGCACACCATGATAGAGGAAAAACCAAACATAAATAAAAGATGACGACTATTTGAAGTAAACATACATTGACTGTCTTGTCGCTTATCAAAAACGAAACTAACACAATGATAATACTCGAAAGATAGAATATAGTATACTATCATGTCAAATCAAAAACAATCTGATATAGTTCAAGGAAATGATGAAAACGAAGTATGAGAAACTCTTTCTCATACAAATACTTTATTTTGTCCTATCTTGTAGATAGATACAAATGACAATGATTTTTTCAATATGGATTTGGTTGAAGTTGAACAAATTCCAAAATGTACTCGTAAGTAAATATTCTTGTGAATGATGTCTAAATTCATTGTGTTCATCATGAAAATAGAAGTTCTTTTAGATGATTTTTTCATTACAACAGAATATGATTCAATAGTCGAACGATTTGGAATATTCGATAGAATCGCACATATATTCAATGATATTTATGGCAATTTCAAACTTAATATTTATACAAGTAAATTTGAGGAGGCTATGGCAAAATCATTGTTCAATAACGAAAATGTATGTATGAAGTTTTGAAAATATTTAACAATTATGATAGTGAAATAATCTTATTCTTAGTCACGTCCATTAGCAATCTATTTATCTCATCATCAAAGTATCGCTACGAATATATTTTGTTTGAACGTCCTCTCTGACAATGAAATTATTAATTATCTTAATCAAGAATTCATCTTATGGAGTTATGATCGAACAAATGACGACGATTTTATTTCGTAAGTAGAATTCAATTAATTTGACCAAAGCAAAAATGAAAGTGTTAGTTTTTTATCATCTACATCTCGACACAGTATGTGCTAAATTGTTCGAGTTCGGTTAAGTCTCTGATTAATTCTTTCTTGTCCTATGGTCCCTATAGAGACTATTTTATAAAAAGTTAATTCTCTTGAACTATAAAACATTTAGAAACAGATTTTAAATCAACTTAAAGTCTATCTATTGTAGAACTTAAACTCAACAATCTGAATCTGATCTATATCATAAAAATAAGATTTGAAGTATGTGAATGTGTGTATGATTCGGTTAGGTGGATAGACGAGGATTATGTACAGTACCTATTACGTACAACTATGGTTTTTTTTTGGTAATTACATGTAACTGTATCGCAATTCGATTGTAATCGAAAACATGAATCGCTTTATTTGGTTTCTTTACACAATAAATTGTCTCGTTCACACACAAACATACAAGACGAAAGAAATCTGCTTCATGTTCTGATTATCCAACATTAAAGAATTGTTGTTTTTTTTTGAGAACTGAAAATCGCATGTAACAAAGCTCTTTTATGCACTCTCCCTAACTTCTTGGGTTAGAACTTTTATTTTTATACAATAAGTACACTTTTAAATGCTCTTTTAAATGACTATTTATTTGTTGAAAGTGTTCAAGTAGCTGTAAACATACATCAATAAGAAAATTTCTGAGAAC